ACACTTTTTATAACTCCGGAAACCACGTTAATACTTGTTGACAGTTATCACCTTTATTCTGATTTATTAAAATATGTATAATACTTAATGTTAACGCCAGTTTGCCCATTTGTAATCCCTTATTTATTGCTACATAGGTAGCAAACCACAGTAATGGAAGCCACAGCTTCGAATGGCCAGGGAGGATTTGTTAGATATAGTGACTATTCTGAATTTAAATGACTGGTTGTCTTTAATGTGCATTTTTAGCATGAAATTTGTTTTTGAGGCATCTAATATGATCACTTGCAAATTCGAAAACATGGCCAGAAATCACATGCTGTTTATTGATAGATGTCAAGGCCGCCATTTTTTGTAAACACTGCTTTTAGACAGGTTGTGTGTAAAACAAGTCATTTTACAGGGGGGTACAAACTTTCAGCAGTAGCAAAAAATCTACAAGGTTGAGGACATGTTTCTTTGTGATATTTTGCATGTATAATAGGGAGTTGCTAAGTAGAGACAGTGTTTCTGGTAGCCCGTATATTTGCAGGTATTTTTTGCCAGAGGGACGAAACATGTTGTTTTCGGTCTCGGACCACAGTAGATTTTGGGCTCTAACGGATTGAATTGCAATTTTTTTTACTGACTGACTATTGCACATGAGATAATTTCATTATAGATTTGTAATGTTTTGACATGTATGTTATCAACAAAACATGTTTTCTTTTTCCAGGTTGTGTATTTTGGAATCAGAATTATCAGACACATTGCTTGTAGGGCGTTGACGACAGGAACTTGAAATTTACTGTGGAGTGCTACCTTAAGGTAAAATGATTATTTTTCAAAGTTCACATTTGCTCTTCCAAATTAGTTTATTGACTCTTTTAAACAAATCAACACAAACTTTGATGAGTTTTAACACTTAAGTATCACAGGTAGCTTCATGAAACATCTTTAAAAAGGGAGATAATTCAAATACATAAATTCTTTGAAAATGCCAGAAAGCAGTATTGTGCTTGCATATCAAATAAAATTTATGTGTAAAGACACATTAATCAGTTTTTTCAGTATAACAACCTACAGGAGAATGATTTTTATCAATTACATAGATAATTGGTTAATATTTTCATAAAATCTTCATTAATTTCTACATGAAAAATAGGTATTTCATTTATTTCCGTCTCAAAAATGGCCCGCTCATTCTTTCAGAGAACCCGAATGAAAGCGAAATTTATGAATTAAAAGAATTTCTCGATAAAAGATCATTTATTAATGAAAATGGTTGTAAATTTTGGGACGGGGGGGTTGACCGAGACCAATACGGGATGGCTCGTGCCACTATTAATAGTGAAAAGAATTCGGTTCGCAGCCCATCGTTTAATGTTTTATGTGTCTTTAGATGGCAAAACCTGTTTAGATCCAATAATGTATTTATTTCATATTTGCCATAAACATTGTGCATTAATTATTTAATATACACCATTTATCATATGAGCCACCCGTTATAAACAATAATAGAATGGTTTTTAAAAATCCTGGTGAATGTGCGGGCCATCATTGGTAAAAGAGATGCATTTTGTAAGGTAACTTGTTACATATTATGAAAGTTATAAGTTTATGAGTTATAATGCAAGGTCACTGAAGTTTGAAGGCAATTACTTTCTGTGCAATGGCAGAACTTTTCAGCAGTTAACACCATAACTATGTTCTTTACTTAGGGTTGATGGTGTTCCAGTGTAAAGCGAGTCCTGAAATTCTGTCCGATGTTGGACGCGTTTTCTCATGAAATATCGAGACTGCTTGTACTCTGCAGTCTTTTGGCGCATAGAATGATACATTCGCTTTGTATCCATTCGTTTAAGCTGCAAGAACATTCTTGAATTCATTTTAACTTTTATGCCAATGGCATTAGCTAATTTGACTGTAGCTAATCCTTTGCCAAGAGTTCTAGAATGTGTTGCAGAATGACAGAGCCCTGAAAAATTTCTTGGCCAGCACGTGAATTTTGGGGCATAATTAAAAACAGTAGAATGTAAACTTTCGCATCGATTTGTGTTGAAAAGTTCTGCCATAGCCTTTATGGTTGTTACATCTAAAGTTTTAAGTATTGTTGCTTTTAAGTTTTCTTTATCTTGTTTATTAAGTTGTAAATGCTTTCCATATGGCAGGTGCTTTGTGTTGTATTTATCAAGCATGGCCATATGGTGTTGACATACAGTTGATTTTGTACGACACAATGAGTGATTATTCGAGAAGCATGGAATAATGTTTTCGAAAGCAAGGGTACATTTAGAAAGAAAATCATTGTCATCATACTTCAATGACCTTGCGTTTTTTAGTTCAAGACGTACTCGTGCTCTCACAGACTTTGCTAGAGATTTTACAAAAATTTCCTTTTTTTGACCATATGAAAGTTTAGAACTTAATTTGACCAGTTTTAAATTTTTTTCTAAATTTCTAAGTTTATGAATATAGCAAGTATAATGTTTAAGTTTAATTTTTTTCTGAGTTTTGTAGTCTCTGATTGTCTTTGCGAGTTGCGCGCTTGCATCTGTTGTAATAGAATTTATTTCAATTTTTTTTGATTTTCTAATTTTGTCCAAATTTTTATTTAATAAGAATTTTTCACTAGCTGCAATAGACTCGTGCTGTGGGTATGTTTTTGAACATTTGACATGGTTGCAGCCTTTCTTTTTGCAAAATTTATTAGCCGTAGCCTGTGAGAGTACGAGACCCCTTGACGTATTATTTTCAATAACGGCGCTAAAACTTTGTTTTGCTTTCTCGCTTCCCGCCTGTGGTCGGCAGGCATAAGCGCTGTCAGTTTGTACATCAGCGCCCTTTTTTCCGGACATTGTCAGGACACGGCCAAGGTAGTCTTGATTTTGCAACAGTTGGGCCTCTCCAACCTCTTCTGCCTTGTCGCACGCCTTATTCACTTTCTTCTGTATTAGTGATGAGGAAGGTGCCTTTATGTTCAAACAGGAAAGAATCAGTGACACATCATCCATTCCTATTCTGGATTTTGCCACCGGTAGAGCAAGTCTCTCATTCAACTCGGCAGCTCCAGGGCCTCTCTTGCTTGGAATCCGCCTTGACATTTCTGTCGCATCACTTTCGAAATGGCAGCTCTGGCAATGAACTGACATTTTTATGCAAAGTCCATGTCGTCTCACTATTTTTAGGGAAATTGAGGGAATTCCGCAGTGCTGCTTATGGACCAATGCCACTAATTGTCGTAAATTTTCCAAATGAACAATAATGCATTCATCATTTTCTACAAGCTGGTCATTTATTTTCTCAATTTCAGATTTTGGTCTGAGTTTGTATGGTAGAGTTATACTGTCATCATCATCATCACTTTTGCTATTTTTTGTTATGTGAGTGACATCAATTGCTTCTGCTTGGCTAAGTCTCACTACTTGTTCAACAGTTTCAGTAGGTAAGTCACTACTATAATGATCATGACAATAATTATGTAGTATATGCTTTTCACCAGGCTTAAACTGAGATTTTTTTCTTGCTTTATTATTTTTGTAGCTCCTTCTTACTTTAGGTGTACCCATGTTGCACAATTTTAAACTCCAATATAGTAAAAGAGTCTCAAAATTATGATTAAGTATATTATAGAAACATGAAATATTCCAAATTCTAATATATTCCAGCAATTGTCCTGCACAGATTTTTTGTATAAAACATGTATATGAAATCTCTTTGTGTTAGGTACTATATGTGAGTCATTGCTGGAGAGTTTTTGGTCATTAATCATGCTGATAAGCCTTTTGCAGCTGGACCCTAATTAATTTTTATAAACTTGGTGTATTTCTCTAGGGCAAGGGAGACAATCCAAACAGGTCTCTTCAGTGTCTATCCAACAGTCTCTAAATGAGCTGTGTGATAAGTTTTTTGACATTTATTAAAACTTGCGTGATTTTTTTTTTCATTTACAGGGATTTACTGTGATGTATGAAAAAATAATGCCTTTAAATGTCTGACAAAAATGAAATTTGCTCTATTTTGTGTCTTTTCAGTTGTCGTTTAGGTCTAAAATGTCATAGTTTTTTAAATTTATGGGCTATTTATTGAATATTTCTTACAGTTCATACATTAGGAGCACTTGATATTGCAATAAAATTGCATAGATGGTGAAAAAAACAGATTTAGGACAAATCACATTGGGTATACTATCATTCATTGCTTATACTGAAAGTAGCATTATAGAGACTTAAAATGGCGCGTAATGGTGTAGTTCATAAAAGGGATATAAAATGAAACCCGAACGATATCTAGCAATAATTTTTCACAGTTTTATTTAAATATGCATAGACTTGCAGTAAAAGTACATTTAAAGATCAGTTTACATCATTAAGGTGCTCCTTAAGGTAGCACACCACAGTAATGGAAGCCACAGCTTCGAATGGCCAGGGAGGATTTGTTAGATATAGTGACTATTCTGAATTTAAATGACTGGTTGTCTTTAATGTGCATTTTTAGCATGAAATTTGTTTTTGAGGCATCTAATATGATCACTTGCAAATTCGAAAACATGGCCAGAAATCACATGCTGTTTATGATAGATGTCAAGGCCGCCATTTTTTGTAAACACTGCTTTTAGACAGGTTGGTGTGTAAAAACAAGTCATTTTACAGGGGGGTACAAACTTTCAGCAGTAGCAAAAAATCTACAAGGTTGAGGACATGTTTCTTTGTGATATTTTGCATGTATAGGGAGTTGCTAAAGTAGAGACAGTGTTTCTGTAGCCCGTATATTTGCAGGTATTTTTTGCCAGAGGGACGAAACATGTTGTTTTCGGTCTCGGACCACAGTAGATTTTGGGCTCTAACGGATTGAATTGCAATTTTTTTTACTGACTGACTATTGCACATGAGATAATTTCATTATAGATTTGTAATGTTTTGACATGTATGTTATCAACAAAACATGTTTTCTTTTTCCAGGTTGTGTATTTTGGAATCAGAATTATCAGACACATTGCTTGTAGGGCGTTGACGACAGGAACTTGAAATTTACTGTGGAGTGCTACCATAACTCATCAAACTTGTGCCATGCCTTGTGTTTTATCCATTATTAGTTGGTACTGATTAGAATTCCAGATGGAGACGTAGAATATGTTCTGTATTTAATCGAGTTAAGATGGAGACAATGTGACGTCATCAAATAGATCACATGACCCATCTGGATACTCAGTGACGTCATTATATGAAGTCACGTTACTGTTTCAAGGGTCATGTGACCTTTTCCTATAAATACCCCAGATTTTCCCTTGAACTTTGTCAATTGTATTGTCCGCTTTACAGACGCAACCTCTATACACAATGTCTTATAGAAATATCCATCTGGAGAGGTAGTACCCAGAATCATTTAATAAACATATTTCACTTATTAAAATAACTATAATAAACGTATAGATTACAAGTATTTATAAACTTGTACAGAATATTTATCTATGTAACTAAGGTAAACAAACCCAACTGGAGTGGTTTCCGGATATGTACCCATTTTGACTACATGTATTATTTATATTACTGTTGACGGTATATACATGAATGAATGATGTTGATGATGAATAAATGAGATGTTTAACTAACTACTGGCTTTCTCCTGATACAACATACCCTGACTATTGAATACCTATAGAAGTGAAGCTATAGTGATCTAGATCTACCCGCTATATAGGCCTACATCCTGAGAAGTATAAATTGTTACCCGGGGACTAGCAGGCTCTCCCCGGTCCGGGAACCGTAACAATATATATAGTATTAATGTTAATTTTTTGTTTAATGTTATTGTAATTAAACAATTATGTAAATTCTAAGTAGAACTAGAAATGTGTCCATAGGACACAGGTGCCCCCAATTACTCTAACAAAACTGAAAAAATCCACATGCAAAGTCCCAGGTGCATAGCTTCACAGTGATGTTGATCATTATTCCTGTAATTTAGTGATGATGATCATTATTCCTGAAAAGTTGGTTGATCCTTACTCAAACACTCAAGGAATAAATAACACAACATAATGAAATGGATTTTGATAAGTCAAGGGCAATAATTATAAATACTGGATAAATCCACAAGCAAAACCCAAGGTGCACTACTACATAAATTATGCTGAGCAGCATTCCCGTAAGGTTTCATGACTCTAAGTTAAAATCCTTTTTGAGTAACATGCGACACAAGTTTAAAATAGCAAATATAAACTAAGTCAAGGGCAATGACTCTAAAAATACTAAATAAATCAAGACGAAAATACCAAGGTGCATAACTACACATGCTGATCAACATTCCTGTAAAGTTTCATGACTCTAGGTCAAATCCTTTTTGAGTTACAGGTGACACAAGTTTAAAATTGCAAATTTTTACCAAGTCAAGGGCAATAACTCTTAAAACACTGAATAAATCCACACGAAAATACCCGGGTGCACAACTGCACATGCTGATCAACATTCCTGTTAAAATCATGACTCTAGTTCAAATACTTTTTGAGTAACATGCGACAAAAAAGAGAACGGACGGACGGATAGACAAAAAGACGGATGGACGGACGCACAAGGGTAAATCTAAATGACCCCCCCCCCTAAATTGGGGGCACAAAAAGGCACATAATTCTTTCAAATGCTTGACAGAGTCACTTCCTCCTGTGTACAAGTAAGGAGCACTATGGTTAAAACAAGTGTGCAAAGTTTTAAAGACATATGTCAATGGACTTTGAAAATATTTGGTGGTACGCAAACTTTGATGTAAATTCTAAGTCAAAAAGGGGGCATAATTCTGTCAAAAAGCTTGATAGAGTTACCTCCTCTAGTGTATATATTGGAGTCTTAATTGTGAGCAAGTGTGCAAAATTTCAAAGCTATTTGTCAATGAACTTTGACAATATTTGAGGTGGTACACAAACATTAATGTAATTTCTAATGACATTCTTTATAGTAAGGCTAATAATGCTTCCAGGCCCAGGAGCATCAATGTATATGCCACATATTACTGTTATAAAGTACATGTAAAGAAATAAACAACACTTACTTGGGTAAAATACATCTAAAATTAATCCACATTTGTTGTCCCAGTAAGAAAATCCTCAGTTTCCATTCACATCACATTGTTATGAACAGCAAAGTATTGATTAAATCTCAGACTCAAAATAAAAATAATGATGTCTATTTCACCTGTCACTTGTCTCATAATCTATTTATAAATTGTTTCTCCCAAGTACATGTAATGTTACTCAGTACTTGTTGTTGTTTTTTTAAACTCAAACCCATACTCTCCAGACTTCTCGGTGTCATCAATGGTGACCACAAACTTGTCTGATTGTTTTATAAATGTTTTAAAGTTTTCAAATTCTGTTTCTGGTTTTATATCACAACCATACAACAGTACTGTCACTGTATGTGGTAGTTTGTTTATAACAGTAATGAGATCATATAACACTGAACAAGACATTGTTATCTTATACAAGGCAACACGTTCAATATTGATCATTTGAGGTGACAGTGTTAATGATCTTTCACCTAGATTGATTCTATACAAAATAACAACTTTCACATGATATAACACTGATAATGTTTGTAACATTGTTTCTATGTCACTGGGAGATTTTAGATCACTACACCTAAATGTTTGTAGTTTACTGGCTGCTGGTAGTTGACTGAGATAAGATGACACAACACCAGGTTTATATAATTCACCTACAATACATTCCTCTAACAATGATACATCCATGTTTAATTGTGACACAGGTATCCTGACCAATCCTAAACTTCTTAGTTGTGAATGTTGAGACAGGTCAAGGTTGAATCCCTTACATGAAGTACCATGATCACTACAGTATAAAATGCACAATGTTATATCTTTCATTGATTTTTTACTAGTGAGTAAATTTAACAATGTCTCCATTACCTCGTGGGTCATAGTGAAACAAACTATATTTAAACACTCCAGGTGTTGTAATTTTACCAGTCGTCCATTTATCTTTGCAGACAGCTGGCAACGTTCTTCTACAAATTTATGATTTTTCCATTTACTTGATAACACAGTTAAACATTTTAAAGGCTTCAATAACAAGCTCATTATTTCCTCTTCTACAATTTCACCTTGATAGTATAATTTCTCTATATGTGGAAGGTCAGCGAGTGTTAACAAACTGATAATTTCTTGTAGACTACAAATACCTTTATTTTGTATCATAATTGATTTCATGTTTTCTTTATTTTGGTGACACAGATGTTGTAATTGTTTGAAGTAGTTTTCTTGTTTACATTTTTCATTAATGAAGAAATCTTGTAAACTCAATTTGAGGTCTTTGTTTTCCTGGCTTTCTTTGGCACAAGAAATGTACATGTCTTGTGTGTCTTGTAATGGATTAATGTACATGTAATCATAATATGTCAAAGTTCTGTATTTGCTTGTTTTTCCATCATTGTTTATCACAGGCATCCAATCACTTGATATTGTAGACATTAATTTAGGGTTCATGTTACTAATAAAGACAAACACTTTTGACATATCTAGGATATTTAGTAAACAGTTGCACTCTTCAAAAATGATTTTTTGAACTTCACTTGCGTATTGAAAACTTATAAATATTGCTGAAAAGTATTCCTGCACTGTTTTATGTGAAAATGAGATTTTAGAACTTTCATTTATTAATGTTTTCACTTTACTTTCTGATAATATTCCTGATAGACAGCTTGATTTCAAATCTTCTTGGCCAAGATATTTTTTTGCAACATTTTCATCAAAAACTAATTTGTGCTCTTTTTTCTTACTGAACAATGTATTAAAAGCTAGTTTCCCAATGGTCACCAGAAACGTGTAGTAACAACAGCAATGTTGATGTTTTCTGAAACATTCTGGAACATTACTAGGGGATGTTTCACATGATGAATGAAACATTCCATGTAACTTTTCTGTTCTAGATAGAAGGAGCTGAATCATGCCTGTATATAATTCTACTGCGGAATTTCCTATTGGAATTTTTGCAATCCATAAACATATAAGATATAGCAACAGGAGAGGGGTGGATTCCATATCATCAAGGTCATGGTTTCTAATTTCCTCTTCAAATCTACAAACTTCAATGATCAGTTTTTCTTCTTCAATGTTGCCTTTCAATATTTTCATTGCGTTTAGGTTAAACTGCCTTACATTTTGTTTATCTAGTTTAACTAGCTCCACAGTTTTGTCTACTTGATTAGTCTTCAAGTTTGAGACTCCAAGCTTCCATGGCCGGGTTGTTGTTAGGATTACACACTTTTCACGTGCATACCGATGAGGAATACTTTTTGGAAGTCTTGAACAATCGTTGTCAGGATGAAACCATTCATCAAGTCCATCTAGTAAAACAAGACATTTTTCATTGCGTAAAATGTCATTTAAAAGAGTTTTTGGTATTTCAGATTTACAACGAAGATTATTTATGATTTGTTGTTCAATCATGTTGTCAACATCACATTCTGTATCTACGTCTCTCAATAGCACTAGAAATAAAAACTCAAAGCCAGATATCGCCTCCAATTCTTCTTTTTTAAAATGGTTATAATTTTCATCCATTTTATGAGCTTGACACCATGTTATAGCGAGATATTTTGAAAATGCTGTTTTCCCAAATCCAGCGACCGCTGATAAATATATGTCCCTTGGAACTTTTCTACCCGATGTAAACAGGTCATGTAACGACTTGACTCTAGTTGTTTCTTTCCTTCCACCTGGAAGATTCGTCTGTATGTCAATTTCTGGCATAATGTAGAACCCAGCTAGAGGGGTATGGTCATCATCTGTGAGTGGTGAAAGAGGAACTGTACTCTGATAGGTGTTGTACCATGCAATTAGTTCATCCTTCAGATCTGAAATGGAAATAATTGACATATTAGTATTATTCATTCAGGTGATGAAATAAAAACAAACAAACACTGATATGATTAATTAATTATAAAGGTGTACATATATATTATAATACATGTATATAAAAACACAATTAGCCAAGAAAAGCGAACAAAAATCGTTCAAAAACAAAATGTCAAAAAATGTTGTTTTTTTAAACTATTCCTTAACATTACTTTATATTAGTTTCTTAAATAAATAGGACATACAAAAATGTTGAAATTGATACAAATTGTATTCGTCTGCCTTTTTTTAACTAAAATAGCAGACGAACACACTTTTTTAATAATTTGTACGAAATATATAGAGAGATCTAACTGAAATTCATACAAAATGTCTCAAGTATATACCTTTTTTACTGTTTCACTGAGCATCTCACTTTATATTATTCTCTATGCAATCTAAAAGTCAACTTTTGGTTGCCTCGGTCATTACTAAATTTGAAATGCACTGACTTAACTGTAATGAACATTAAACTATAAATAGTAACCAGGTGTCATGGACTGGCAAAATATATAATGGAGCGCAATAACTGCCTTATAGCCCGGATTTATCGGATAAAAGTTATATATAAAAATAATGCATGAATGACATTTCTCTTCTTTTTAATAAGTGATCCTTTTCCAAAACTTTTTGTCGAAATCTATTTCAAGATATTCAATACAATTGTCTATTATTTTTTAAAACTATTTCTATAGTCTGCTATTTTGGCAATCGGAACATCCTCGGCTATAATCAATTATAACCTCGGATTGAAAGTAGTTTTAACACGTTGTATCAGATGTATACAAAAACAGAGAATGTTATCTTCATATTCTCTCTATTTTGACATCCAAAGAAAAATAAAGATTGTCTCGGGATAATTATGATTGAAAATATGTATGACAACCATTTTGAATTTTAAAATGCCCACTGGTGTACAATTTAAACAAATCCGACTAAATGTCAACAGGTTGGCATTTTGTACTTTCGGTTTCTACACTCATAAGAATAAATATATAAATAATGTAGAGTTTGCATTTGTTTCTATGAATTCACTTATTTAAGGTGGACTTTTACTTCTAATATTGGAAATAAGTTTGTCAAAAACTCCAATCATTAAAAAAAATTAATTGTTACATGTTAAGGTTTTTAGCGTTAGTTAACGAAATACCCTATCCGTTCTGTGCACATGTATTCATCCACTTGTGTTGGAGGTCCTTATTCGAAGATTGACAAGTTGCTATTGCCATTTTGGGTGATTGATTTCAGAGGTTACTACAGCATCACGGTCTTCCCCAAAATGCAAGTATAAAAGGACAGATGGGTCAAAATCTTCAAATTAAGATGTGGAAAACTCCTAACAGTTAACTTACTATAAAATTCAAGCTATACGAATAGATGATATGCCAGTATATTGGATTATTACATAGTAACAATTAAGGGATATGGTAGTCAAATATGGAGATTTTAATCAAAAAGTTTTTCTCCCCGAATATTCATTATTCACAAAATTGAATTTATTGGCAGATGCTGTGTAGTTTTGTGTGACAGTTTTGAAAATAATAGCATTGTCATATGTAATCTGAATAATTCGACTGCAAGACCGAGCGCCTTTACAAATTGATATTTCACAGATGTTGGTATTTACGAGGGCGGCCATAGTCTATATAATAAAAAAGCCCTTTAGCGCATAATTTGGTGGGCTATGTCATATGTTACTTTTACTAGTAGTTGCAGAACATGTAAATACCTTGATATCATAGAACCCGTGATATCATAGGAACCGCGAGTATATACACATGTTTAAAGTGGTGGCATCTTTTAGATAAATGGTGCCGTGATTATGATAAATAGTAATTACTGTTGCTTTTATAGATGTCTGGTGCTATATGGTTTTGATAGATGGTGATGTCATTATAAAGTGACGTGGTGATGATATATAGTGAAGTAGTTTAGGTTTAGGGTACTGTCGTTTAGATAGATGGTACAGTGGGCTTTGATAAATGGTGATGTTGCTGTCATTATAATATATGGTGCTCTTTTTTCATATACTGTGCTGTTATTTTGATAAATGGCGATTTCATTTTGATATATATGTTCATTTCATTTTGATGAAAGTGATGTAATTTTGATAGATGGTGATATGGTTCCGAGAAATGGTACTCTGGTCTTAATCGGTTATGCTATCATTTTGGTAATTTTGGTATAAAGTGACTTTATTTTGTTAGATTGTGCTGTGATTTTCATATATGGTTCTGTTATCATGTATATGGTAAATGACCTCACCATTCACCGAAACAACAGCATTAGATCTAAAAACACCATAGCACCATAAAGCAGAACCACATCACCATACCAAAATTACATCACAATATATGGAAACTCCATCACCATCTTTCAAAATGGCATCATCATATATTGAAACGACATCACCATCTATTATTTAAAAAATTCTGGAAACAAAGTGATCCCTCGGAAGCATTTATCACAACAAAATTACATAAGAATTGCAGACTCGGTTTGATCGAGTCTGTAAAGTAAGTCGCAGCACCGTCTATAAAATGACAGCAACATACGCTTTTATAACATCACATCTATCAAACCGAGATCACCATATATGAAAATGATAGCACCATCTATCCAAACGACAGCACCATATAACAATAAATAAATCACCATACGACAATAACGACATCATAAATTAGCAAAATCACAACATAGTATCAACACTTTAGGATGTATATAGAAGGCGGCTATGGCGTTCCATAATTATCTTTTTTTTTCTTTCTTTTTTTAAAGAAACACATGAAATATGTTTTAGAAAGAGTCTGGGCTGTATATAATCTGGTTACGGTGACACAAAGGTGAAATGTGTGTGTTTTATTTATCTCATGAGCACGAGACACTATGTCGTGGCCACGAGCTACTTACTCGTGGTCACGAGTTACTTAGTCGTAGGCACGAGATAATTAAGTCGAGGGAACGAGATACTACGTCGTGGCCACGAGTTACTAAGTCGTTGGAACAGATAATTAAGTCGTGCGCACGAGATAAAAAAACCAATCAGATTTCCCGATTTATATTAACTTTCCTAGTACTAGTGATTTTACATTTAGCGTCACTGTGACCCTAATTTTTGACCCATTGACCTCAAAATTATTTGATGTCATCTACTGATCAGGTGCTATGATCTTTCTAGGTTATAATAACCACGGCTTAATAATTCTAAATTATTAATCAGATTTTTTTACATGAAGTGTCATGGTTACCTTGACCTCAAACATCTATATATGCTATCTACTGTCCATGGGCAATGGCCCTAGCAAATAAAATAAACAAAGATTTATTCCTTCTCATGTCATCGTATAAAAAGTGTCAGGCCGTCGTACATACAAAAATCTGGAAACAAAGTGACCCATCGGAAGCATTTATCACAACAAAATTACAAGAGAAATGCAGAATCGGTTTGATTGAGTCTGTACATGAAGGAAAATGAATACGTGCAACATCCCTCACGCCCACTAGCACCGGCTTGAGCGGTACTGATTTCTCAACACTAAATAGTGCTGGCATCAATGATCCGGAAGGACCAGAAAAATATAACAACACTATCACAAAGGGCTATAACTTAGTCAAATTAATGTCTGATTTATTGGCCTTGGAAGGTGACTTTCTCATATTATCCTTAAGAAATGTATCAAATTAAATGTGATCACCTTTAGTATCTTCAAAGATTAATGTCGCATGTAAAACTGTAATAAGTAAAACTTTATTATTGTGATTAATGCTTCCAGGGGATCACTTTGTTTTCAGATTTTTATTTATCTCATGCCCACGACTTAGTATCTTTTGGCCACGACACATAGTATCTTGTGCCCAGGATTTAATTATCTCGTGGCCACGACTTAGTAACTCGTGATCACGAAATAGTATCTCGTGCACAGTAGATTGATGATAAAACACACACACATGTCACATTTGTGCCACCGTATCTGGTTGAATTGTTGCTGCATAAATTGTAAAATTGATGCAAAAAGGAAAGAGCCTTTCATCAATACTTTGAAGCGATATACTCAGTTGCTAATTGAGATTTGAGATTTTCTCTATTCCAACAAAGAACTATTTCAAGTACCTAAAGTTACTGATGGAATGCGATTTTTTATGATCCAAAAGTGTATGCCTTCGAGCCACTTGCCGTTCATCCAAAAAGTTCGAATACCGCCAGGGACTTTGGATTCTTTCACAAGACAAGCTATCCAACTAGCTTTTGATACGTCGATGATTCTACTAAGGTGCCCGCTTGTGCCTGAAATAATGCACACAGGGACACTCGAGGTCCCATGTACCAGTAAAGCAGAAAACTCGCCATATGACATTAATGATTTCAATCTGACATAAAAAGCAACCCTAAGAAGATAAACGACTGCTGTGGATATATTACAAATATGTTACTAGTATGGTACAAGACCGTTTGAATCAATTACAACTAGAACTGCCATTCCCATGGCGTGAGTATCCCCGCATACCGCTTTGGCAGAATCAACAGTGGTCATTTAGAGCTTAAGGAAAACCTCCTTGCCAAATTTGAGGTTAGTAAGTCAGTGCATTGATAAGTGATGTACTCTACATGACCCTCGATTTATTTGTCAAAATGAAGGCTATATTAATTAGGACAACACAAAGAGGAATTGAATATTAACATTAATGAATAATAAACCTTAATTTATAACAAATCCGTGGTATTCGACTGTTCCCACTATCACATGTATTAAACTCATTACCAGCAAACAAATAATCTAATAAATTTTAATAGAATATATATATATATTCTTCACATGATACTTGTATTAAATTTTTATCAATTATGATTAATCATCTATTATATATTTAGCCTTTCTAATTTATTCTATATTGTTGAAGACAGCACTCTAGACTAATCAAATACTGGAGGCAGCTAGTAAAGGAAGATCTATGAGCCAAA